TTTGACAGTTCTTTTAATATCCTTGGATGTAGTTCATCTGGTCCTGAACACTTAAAATAATTTAGGTTGACCAGGTATTCCTGTACTTTCTCTTTACTCATTTTGTGTTGCATTTCCCCTATTGCTCCATTTCCCCTATTGCTCCTCTGCTCCATTTTCCTCAGATTGAGCACCCTTTTTCTTTTGTGAGAAGACTGAGGCAAAGAAAGTGTTGAGTAATTCTGCCTTTTCTCTGTTCCCTGTTAGAATTTCTCCATCTTCTGTGCTCAGTAGCCCTACCATTTCCTTCTTCCTTCTTCTTTCTTTTGCTATGGACATACCCAAAGAAGCCCTTTTTATTGTCCTTAACCACTCTAGCAAGCCTGAGCTCATTCTGTGCTTTGGCTTTTCTGACTTTCCTGCTTTCTGTGCTTGCTATATGTTTAAATTCCTCTTTAGTGATTTTGCCCCTTTTCCATTTCTTATACATCTCCTGCTTGAGACTTAGTTCAGTTGAAAGTTCTTTTGTCATCCAACTTGGTCTCTGGAGACATCTCCCTTTTCCCCTTCTCATTGGAACAGTTTGAGATGTGCCTTCAGTATCTCCCTTTTGAGAAACTCCCATCCATCCTGAATTCCCTTCTCCTTTAGTATTCCTGACCATGGGATCACTCCCAGTGTTTCCCTAAGGGGTTCTGCAGATGGTGGAAAGCACCGTCTTGGAGCCAGGGAAGGGGAGGAGCAGCCAGATGCCAGATGCCCCAACCCCTTCCTGAGGATGTCATCAGAGTGTGCGCTGTTGCACACAGCAAGCACTCTGATGACATTCTCCCAGTGCAGCATTTTTACACGCTGTGCCAGAAGAGGTGCAAAAGAGCCAGTAGGCAGCTTTTCCCGCAACCTTTCTGTGGCTTGGGAAAGGAGCACTATTTTGGTGCTCCTTTCCCAGTCGCTGAAAGGGTGGATTGGGGCCGAGGCATGGGGCAGCCTCAGCCCCAATCTCAGCTTCTCAGGGCGTCCCATGACCACCCGTCTGCATCACCCTAAGTTTGTTGAAATTAGCTCTCCTAAAGTCTAGAATGAGTGTTTTACTATGCCTGGCTTCTCCTTTCCACTGTATAAGAAACTCCAGGGGAACATGATCACTCCCACCTAAGGATCCCACCACTTGCACTCCATTGTCCAGGTCATCCTTGTTCATTAGGATCAGATATAAAATATCTGATCCCCTTGTAGCCTCTTCCACCTTTAATTGTCTTTGAGGCAAGTGAGGAATTTGCTAGACCTTGAAGTATTGGCTGAGTTTGACTTCCAGCAAATACCCAGATAGTTGAAGTCACCCATCACTACTACATCTCTCCTTTCTGAGTTTGTGGTCATCTGTCCTAGAAAGGCATCATCCAATTCCTCAGTCTGACTTGGGGGTCTGTAGTAGACTCCCACAATAAAATCCCTGTTGTTTCCTTCCCTGTAATTTTTATCCAGATGTCTCCACCTGATTTCCAGGATTTAAGTCCTGGATCTCTTCACAGGTGTAAACACCCCTTGAATGAAAATGACTTGAAGGCACACAATAACAAACAAAGTTATGTTTATGTCACAATAACAAACAAACAAAGTTGTTTATGTTAATATACAGAATTATGATTAACAAGTAACATTAGTAGAAAAAAATACTAAGCATTCTGTATGATATGGTATGGGAGGAGGTCAATGGGGGAGGGGTGATGCCATGAGTTACAAACTGGGTGATGCCAAACCTAGTGATATCACTGCAACTTGCAGCCTAACAAATTTTGTGCATCACCATTATACTTTTTTTTACCACCTTTAATTTTCTTTGAGCTCCTGTACCTTTAGCAGCAGGAGGAGATGCAGGTATTTAGCAGGTATTGTTTCTTAGACTTGGAGATTCCACAAAGAGGCATCTGACAAATATAAAGTTTATTACAGGTTACATAATAATAGGATTTGGCAAGGTAAGGTTCATCAGAAGTTGCAAAGCAATTGGATGTGGGCCATTCTAGAGGTGGACAGGCCAGGAATATCCTGCCAGTACTTGGGCTTAACTTCAAGACTTCTTTCTCTTGAAAAGATCCCAATTCTTGAGGAGCTATCACTCCCAAGGAGTGTGATGTCTGACACCACTTTAACTGCCATGGCTATAGAATCCTAGGATTTTTAGTTTATTGTGGCACCAGAGCTGTCTGACAGAAAAGGCTAAATATCTCACAGAACTGCAAATCCCTGAACTCCATAGTATTGAACCATGGAAGTTATAGCAATGTTAAACTCCATTATTTCTGTATTGCAGATGCAGCCTTAGTGGCTGACTGAACATGGCACTACTGGCTACAGAAAATTTAGAATTAATTGAAATTAATTTATCAATTTAAAGACACATATGTCTGTATTCATGCCAATTTTAGGTGCCTGGATTTCATTATCTTGTTGCTATGACATACACAGTCTCTCTCTCTCTCTCTCTCTCTCCCCCTCTCCCTCTCCCTCTCCCTCTCCCTCTCCCTCTCCCTCTCCCTCTCCCTCCCTTATTATAGGTTTGATTTAGAACCAATTTGTGGATAGTTTCAATTCCTTCACTACTGAATGAAAGGAGAGGGTAATAGTGATGGTAACAGATGGAAGGGGTCTTCTTCAGTGCCCTATAATTTAATTCTAATTCATTCTGCAAATGATAAGATTATAATTTGTGTCTCTGAACTTGTAAAGAAATCAATACACCCCATGCTAAGTATTCCTGCTGGCACAGTTTAGACCATCCCATCACCTAGTGAAAAATTGTTTAATGTCATTAATGAAAGCATCTTCATGATTAATAAAGTGAAAACTAATTATAACCAATGTAATAATATATGTGCTTAGAGCTAAAAAGAAATGACAGGAAGAGATAATGTCAAGGTTAATATGTGATTTAGGTTACATAGTACTTAACAATATCTGACAGTCATATCCGACCTCTCATGAACATACATAGAATTATATCATAGAAAAGGAATGTAGTTTTCCATTATCTTTTTCTGAGGCAAAGATACATAAAATGTAAGATGATATAAATAAAACAAGAGAATATGTTTTAATATATTTTTGTCTGCCAGCTGAAAACTTCTGCTAACAGTTATTAATTATGTTGCCTTGAAATGTTACCAAACATTCCAACTTTTGGAGATAAATTTTATTAGAAAGGTCTTACAATTAAAGGTAAAGGTATTCCCTGTTGACAAGATTGTCAAGTCATATATGATGTTAGGGGTGGTGCTCATTTCCGTTACTAAGCTGAAGAGCCAGGATTGTCAGAGACTACTCTATGATCGTGGCCATTAAGTTTTAAACATGAAATATTATGAATACATATTGAAGTCTGAGTACAAAATACGGATGTATAGATGAAAGGCAGATATAAAATTTAGGGGCCTAAATTAAATTAGTCCCAAGTATTGTAGACTCACAGAACCAACCATTGAAGCATAAGTTAATTTCTACATAAATCCCATTGATTAAATGGATCTACTTTAGATGAGATACACAAAAAATGGTTTGCTATCCCATTAGAATCTGATTTCAAATGTTTAGGTAGAACAGGTAATATGAAAGCAAATGAATCATTTTAAGATACAAATGTGCAGTCATACTTTGAATGTGTTTCCATATCCAAAGCACATAATAATAATAACAATTATTATTATTATTTATATCCCACCCCTCTGCAGAGCAATCGGGGCGGCTTACAACATTAACATTTACATAAAGCTATGTTAATACAATGTAAAAATCCAATGTAAAAATTCCATTCCACATGGAAACATCACAGAAGTATGCTGTTAAATAGATCTCTTTCAATTGATTTCCTATGTGAAATTCACAAATTTCAGGTCTTTCAGACTCTTCCTTCAGTTTAGTCCTATGACAGTATATCTGAGACTACCTAAGCTGAATCTGTACTGAAGAAATAATGCAGTTTGACACCACTTTAGCTGCCATGGCTCAATGCTGTGGAATCCTGGGATTTGTAGTTTATTGTAGCACCATAGCTCTCTGACAAAGAAGGCTAAAAATATCTCACATAACCACAAATCACAAAATTTTATAGCACAGAGGCATATCAGTTAAGTGATGTCAAACTGCATTATTTCTACAGTGCAGATAGGATTATTTTTTTTGTTAGATTGCATCTACATTGTAGAAATAGTGCAGTTTGACACACCTTGAAGCATTGTAGCTCCATTCTATGGAATTCTGGGAATGTAGTTTTACAAGTCTTTAGCCTTCTCTGCCAAATAGTGCTGGTGCCTCACAAAACTATAAATCCCAAGATTCTGTAGGATGGAGCTGGGGAAGTTAATGTGTTGTCAAACTGCATTATTTCTACAATGTAGATGCACCCTCAACTAATTTCTTGGATCTTCTGAGATCTTGAAATGGCAATCTATTTATTATATTTGTTAAATCCTTTTTGTCACCCATGGCATTAAAGGCATTGCAATAAATTAACTTCTTCCCATTTTATCATCAGAAAAACAAAACTTGTGAGGTAAGTGTTTATGTTTG